CAATAATTTAAAAATTTTAAATCATTACATAAATACATTTTTATATTTATTTTTTATATATTTTAATTTTTTATCGAGAGAGAGAGAAAGAGAGAGAGAGAGAGAGAGAGAGAGAGAATACAATTATAAAATATTCAAAGCAACGAAAAACCGTGTCAATTTTCTGTTTCAACAAATATTTTCGTAATACTTAAAAAAAAAAAAAAAAAAAAAAACAACATACCCCAAATGGAAATAATTTCAATAATTAATTTTTTACCATTCTATACATTATTATGGCTTTTATGTTCGAACATTCATGTAAAAAATTTCTGTTTCACAAAATTTACTGACCATTTGAAAATTTTTCCATCCTTTTTTTTTTCTCTTTCTCTTACTCTCTCTCTCTCTCTCTCCTACCATTAATTTGCTATTTCTCTTCGATCTCGCTGTTCTATGCCTAAGAAGACACGAATAATAATAAAAAAAGAAAAAGAAAAAGTATGAGACACATTTTCCGCGAACAAGATCATTAGAAACGATTTTTTTTTTCCTCAAACGAGAACCACTAATTCGAATTTCTCTCTTCAAATAGTATTATCTGTAATTAATTAGCGGTAAGCCGTGGTTTTCCTACCGTTAATTGTCACCCCCCCCCACCCCCACCCATCCACCCAAATGTGAGATCTCATCATAATGAAATTCGACAACCATAACAAAGAGAAAACAAAAGAACGAAAGAAGAAAAAAAAAGAGAGAGAAAGAGACAGACAAAAAAAAAAGAGAGAAAGAGAAGGGGACAGAAACGAAACGAGTTATCGATTTACTACCCTCTCAACATTTTTGTCGCCAAAGAAATTCACTGACACTCGAACAAGTTAGTGAAAAGAAAAAGGATACCATTTTCCCCTAGCATAAATTTGACTACACAAATGGAGCTACCCACCCCACCCGTTTCATAAAATCATTTTACGTGAACATAAGAAGAAGAAGAAGAAAAAGAAAGAAAATGTGTCCGAAAATAAGTAGTCGAGATTAATACGAATCAACAACAACACAACAGCAGGTATAAATAAATTAAATTCTTTTGGCGTTTGGGGCTTGCGGTGTGCTTTGCTTTTTCTTTTTTTCCTTTCTTTTTTTTTTTCTTTAACATTCTCTTCATCGTTCGTTCGTGCATTTTTCTTCTTTTTTTTTTTCGTTTACTTTTAAAACATTCGTTTCAATTTCTATTCTAGAAAGGGTAGAAAGGGAAAGAGAGAGAGAGAAAGGGATGAGGGTCGTCTTTTCAAAGACAGAATCTCAGAATGGTTGCTCGATGGAAGCAGAGAACGTCGAGAACCTTTTTCAGGGTCGTTCAGTATCCTCCCCCTCCCCCTCCCCCCTCCCCACAACTTCCTCCTTACACTCCTTTACCTTCTTCTTCTTCTTCTTCTTCTATGTCCTCTTTCTTCCTGTACTTATTCTTCTCATCCTTTTTCTCCACCTCCTCCTCCTCCTCCACCTCCGCCTCCTCCTTCTTTCATTCTCAAATCCAGAAGGAAAACGTTTTCACGGAGTCGCGTTTAATGTCGCGAAACAGATAAACTGAGGAATCATGGCGGCGAAAGTGCTACCCTTTTAAAACTGTTACCTCGAACGTTTACTTTAAAGCTGACTACTGGACCATCGAAAAACATCCAACGATCGGTTTATTCGATCCTATATCAACGGTTACTTCCTCAACACATATACACATAGTTATATGTATATGTGTATATATGTATGGGTTAGTTTAAAAAAGAATTTACGATTTAGAATATGTGTGCAATATTAATAATCTTCTGATACTTCAATATTTTTCGATTACATATTATTTAAAACTTATTTTTGGTTAATAAAAAAAGATTCAAGATTTATAGAGGGATGAATAAAGTAATCGTAATGTAAAAATACTCGCAACGAGTTGACAAATTTTATCATACTGAATTGGTCAATTTTTATTCACACATTTTTATTGCAAATGTTTAATAGTAAAAATAGTTAACGTCAAAAATATTTGATCAAATTTTGTAAACAATATTATATTTTAAAATCTTATCTATAAGATACTTTTAACGTATTATATATAAAGATGAACAGAAACAAGTTACATAAGTTACTATCGTTAGGAAACTTTGAGGATTACTCAAACTACTTCAAGGTCAATCGAAACTATGTTGGTGAAACATTTGAGTACTACATGTTATCAAAGTCCCTAGTCGCTTTTCAACACCCTCCGCATAAATATGCATGTAAGCGCATATACACTACCCGTTCGAATCGTAGAATCACTTGATGATTTCTAAAATGTAACACATCTAATATTCGTATGGGATAACAAAAAAACTTAACTATTCGAATGAAAGTAATTTATGTATAATAAAAAATTAACAATTTCGACACTGCACACTTTTAGCATTTTTTTTACTTTAAAGAGAATATTTATTTCTTTTCATTTTAATACTTATTATTATTATTAGTACAATCCAATTTTTTGTTCAATTCATTACTATACGCGAATTATAAATGCGTTAAAGATTAATATCATACGAAAGCAAGAAAAATAAAATAAAATATAATATTATAGAAGCAATGTATTACGTAATCTACGTAAAGATTCGAAACTTTTGCGATAGTATGTATACATGTGTGTATAATTATCAGGTATATACCCAGGATTCTATAGAATACCTAGATAGTTTCGGTCAATCTATAAAATGTGCTTCAATGAGGTGATCTTTCGAACATGAAGAGAGTCGTGTGGGGGGAGAAGAAGAAATCTGAAACTAATGTAAGTGAAACAAGCATAGAAATTTCAAAATTCCCCTCCCACCCCTGTCTCCTCGTGTTGTAAATACAACAAATTTTATACAATGCCCGTAGTAATACATTGCCCATAACATATATATGATAGAAGAAGTAGGAGGAGGAGGTGAGAAGGTAGGAAGGTGGGAAGGTGGGAAAGTTTATATTCGACTTTCATAGATTTAGTGAGCTTAGAAGGACAAGATCCGTTACCGGAAACGACAAGGACTCCTCTCTCCGCGAAAATCGGCTCGCAGTAACGCTAAAGAAGCCTTTCTAGAGCGGCGTTCTTCCGAAAAACGCGCCTTGGCGATCGGCCAACCGTCGCAAAATGTCAGACCTTTGCCACGGGAAATACGAGCTTTCCATCTTTCACGAAACCCTCTTTCGAACGCGATAAGGGTCCTCTTCTTCTTCTTCTTCTTCTTCTACTCCTTCTTCTTCTTCTTCTTCTACTACTCTTTTTTTCTTTTTTTTTTTTGGGTTACCTTACGACCACTACTAAAACTTCGACTTTAAGATTTATTCTCGAATTATTCTACGTGCTTTCAAGTATTTACGTTTTTGACCCTTTTTTGTTGTTGCTCTTCTTTTTCTTTTTCTACTTCTTTTACTTCTTTATTTTATTTTATTTTATTTTATTTTTTATTTTCACTTGTGTACTCGTTTGTTTTATTCGGGTGCAACATGTGCACGGATAATATTTCGTTTGACAGTTGTCGATCACAAGGGTTACATTTTTTAGGATCAATTTCCAATTTGGCAAAAAATCATAGACCATATATATATATATATATATATATATATATATATATATATATGTGTGTGTATAAGTGTTGAGTTTAATTTTATTGGCACAAGTATCGTAGGTCGTGAACCTAATTTATAATAATTTGTAAAATATATTTTACAATGTATATTTAAAAAATCATCTGTTAAAATATTAATATATAATAGGACTTTGTGAATATACCGAAAATTATTTGAAATCTTTCCAACTATTTATATTATTTTTAGCATACAAATTTCATTCATAAAGTGTAACATATTTAACGGATAAAAATGCCACGGAATTTTTCAAATAATTCTAGTTTCCTCTTTCGTTGTATAGAAATATAAAAGAAATTTAAAATGGCGGAAACAACTTTCGTTTATTTTTCTCCCCTTTTTCATCGTTTCACACGCGTCTATAAAGAAAATTTCTAAAATTATTTTATTTATTTTCAGTAATTTTTTTTCCTTCATTTATACGTTCGATTATTTCTTCAATATTATTGCAGTTGTTATGATGATCGCGAAATTAAATATGGATAATTAAATAAAATAAACGCCATTGATATGAAAAGTTCTTTAACAAGATACGTTGTTAAAGTATCCTCATTATAACGAAAATGCAATCTCGTTCCATTTAATATATGTAAAATATTGGCAAGTTACTAACTTTTCAATTATCTCAGTGATATTGACTTACCTTTACAGAAAATGGATTTAATAACTATTTGTGTTCTTTAAATAAACACTTGAGTTACAATGGCAAATGATTATGTTTACACATGATATTTTATTTAAATCATTAATGAATAAACAATATAGATAATATATCAATAATTAGCTAATTAATTATATAAATAACTGAATTTTCTTTCTCTCTCTCTCTATCTTTTATCATATCAAAGATAAACATTGTATTAAACAATCAAACACGATATGGATTTCTTTTATAAATATATAATATATTATTAAGACAGTGATCACACATAATTAGAAAATTTATATTTTATACATATAAATATCAAAACATTGATTATTGTTTTCGGTAAATGGAATCATCAAAAATAAATATATTTAACTGAATGTTTTCGAAAAATAAAAAATATAATAGAAAAGGTTCCGTGTATTTGAATGATACTTTTTGAGAATCTCAAGTACCACGAGTAGGAAGATAGAATATACATATAGTATTCAAAGCATAGTAAGTATAGTTGGCTTGAGACGAGAAATCGAGGAGCGTGACTGTACAGGTTCCTTCGGTATGTACGGAACAGGTGGAAGCTCTCTTGCTGGCGAAGGTAAACGAGATCTCAGTACTCTTCGAACTCATGGGAGGATCTTTGAATGAAGATCGAACGTATATCTTTTTCGAGTCGATACTTTAAACTACGATTCGATACCCAATCGTTTATAATATTCTTCTTTTTCTTCTTCTTCTTCTTCGTTTTCTTTTTCTTGCATTTTATTTTGCAATAACAGCAGCATTTAAAAAAGGAAAGAATAAAGAAATGGGTGTCGTATCTTTTGAAGATTTTCAATTTTTTGTATACTTATTTTTTTTGCTGACAATGATCATTGTCTTGCTTGAATTTCGGGACTTTTTATATCATGAAAGGAACCACTGATTCTCTTTCTCTCCCTTTTTAAATTTCTTTCTTTCTTTTATTTTTTAACCGTGAAAGAAGAGAACCCCCTTTTGTAGCAACCCCCAAAAGAAAAGGGGATCGATCGAATGGTACTTGGCCTCGAGGATCTAAAACGTGCCTGGAAAAATCGTACTTTTAGTCAAATGCTACTTGGCAATAAATAATCGTAGGTAAATCGACACGAACGAGTTTAGATGAGTTTACAATAATTAGAATTATTCTCTCTCTCTCTCTCTCTCTCTCTCGATGGATTGTTATTTTATAATTAAATCTCAATATTGTGTGTGAATACATAGATTCCTTTTTTTTACTTTTAATCAATTTATTTTAAACAAATTTTATAGACATATCGCGTAATTTTGTAAATATTATCTGAGAACAAACTAATCCGAACATTTAGATAACTTAGAAATAATTATGATTAGTTCATAAAAAGATTACTATATTTCAATAAATCTTAACACATTAATATTATCTATAAATATATAATAATACTTATTATTTATTTAAAATTATTTCTCCAGTAAAATCGTATATTTGTAAGTAATGTTATTTAACATTAAATAATCGAACATTTAGACGAGTTAGGAATAATTACGATAAGTCCGTAAGAATAATTAATTTTTGGAAACGCGTGTGGCAGATTTTGGAAAATCTTCATATCGATATGTATCAATATATACACATATATATTTACTTACATATACATATAAATATTTTTATATATATATATGTATATTCGTAAAACGTACTCATCAAAATAAATTATTATTATCCACCACGGGGTCAGTAATTAGCCGGCGTACGTGAACAAATGTAATGTGATTCCAATTGGCCTGCGAATCTGACACCACTATCAGGCCAGCTTTCGATATCCATTTCGATTTTACTTCTCTATTATATCACGCATAATAATTCTATCTCTCTCCCTCTCTCTCTCTCTCTCTCTCTAACTTTCATATACGTATATATAAAATCACGTTTATTAGTTTAACGATTTTGCCAATCGGTAGCAAGCTGATTGGTAGGAAAATTAATGATACACAAACGATATCACACAAAAATGGTGAAGGACAAAAAAATGTGTTAATTTACTTGCTTACGAATACAAAAATTAAATGACGAAAAAATAACATAAAGGGTAGAAGTAAGTAAGTGAGCAGGGATGATGTGAGCGGGGTGAAGGTACGAGGAGGAGAAGTGAGGAAGGAGGTGGGGTTTGGGTTGGAGGGACTTTGAGAAGTTGCGACACTCGCGTTTATCTCTCTCGTCACACGTGCGGCCTGTTGTCACGTGGTAAACTCGTCCTTCCGGCGGCCTTCGGTGAACGACAGGGGCCGTCCGTCTACCTCGGCCGATAGTCAATTACCTCTCGATCATCTCGCCCTTTCCACCCCCCCCCCTCCCTTCACCCTGAAACCCAGATCCCGAAAGCAAAGCCCTTCCCTTCGGCCCCCAACCCTCTCGGTGTTTTTTCTCCCGTGAACGAGCACGAGCGAGTAATTAAGTTAAAGAGTCGAAACTAACGCGCTGTACCGGCGGATTTAACACTGAAACTTCGTAGGAGGTAAAAGGAGGAGTAGGAAGACTAGGAGAAGGAAGAAGTGCTGATGGACCCGGGGGATGGGGCGGTACTGCTAGCGGGAGGAAGAGGAGGGGGTGGTACTGGAGGGAGGAGGACTAGCGGTTTGCCTGATTTTGGAGAAACGAGCACGCGAGAGAGAAATGTAGTTGAAAGAATAAGTGAAAGAGAGAATTTTAGAGAGAGAGAGAGAAAAAGAGAGAGAGAGAGAATTTGTGTGTATATGTGTTCGTGAGAAAGAGAGAGATAGAGAGAGAGAGAGATAAAAAGAGAGAGGTAGAGAGTTAGCTGGCTGGCTGGCCCGCTCGACCAACGCATTTTCGAAATTCCGACTGGGTAGAGCCGTTTTACAGACGGAATTAACGATATTCGTGTAGGTGTGTGGGTGCTTCTCTCGTACACGCTCGTATGCGAACTCGTATAACGGTTCTTCATTCGGACGAATTGGATGGGTCGAAACACCGTGTATTACCCGTACGCGTTCACTACCACTCCTCCTCCCCTTCTCTTCTTCTCTCTCTCTCTCTCTCTGTGTGTTGCACACGTTCTCTGTTTTTCACCCCCCATGCCGTTTCCCGCTCGAAATTGCACTCTACCGTACGCGCGGCACACCGAAAAACATTCGAGCTAGGCGCCACAGATTCGTATATATATAAATATATAAATGTATGTGTGTGTGTATGCGTGTAAATATATAGATATACATTACATACTTCTATTGCTTTGGAAAAATCTAAGCGAAATTGCGCGTAAGTCCGTCCGTACCGATGATGTTCACCGGAGGTTGTTCGTCAACCATGAACACGCGAATGGGAACGACTCGTAAAAACTAATTCTATGAAATAGAATAAACAAACGTATATACGCGAACATTTTTAATTGTTTCTTCTGTTTTTAAGAGATTTTACTCTTTATTACGTTTTCGTTATTAATTATTTATTAATAGTTCGAAATCTCGATTTCCTGCTTATTGTTTTTGTTTTTTTTTTATATATATAATATAATATTTTCTCTCTTTGTGTGTGATACAATTTTTTTGAAAAATGTACAACTCGTCAACAAGACCACCCCATACGAATAATTCTAATTGTAAGTATAAATTTTTATCCGAAGTAATCCGTCTCTTTTGTTTTTAAAATTGTTGTATTTGTCGTTAATAATGATTAAAAATAAATGGTTGTTTATTTATTGTTTTAAATCATTACTCTCGCGTTAGTTCGTGCTGAAATATTGATACAAAAGTTACAAATCAATTAATTCGGCACTTTTCTCTTTCTCTATTATCTTTAAACATCTACGAATAATCGAGCAGATAAATTTCGATTATGTAACATTGTTGAAGAAGAAAAACGAACAAGTAAAAAGAATAAGAGTGTCGGTTTAAAAAAAAAAAAAGAAACTAAGAAGGAAAGGGAGAACTATCAGGATGAAAACCGGTACTTTTTCTTTTTCTCTTAGGTGTGACAGGGACAAAAAGAAGAAGAAACAAATAAGAAAAAGGAGAAAGGTTGAAGAAGAAAAATAAGAAGAAAAAGTAGTATAAGAAGAAGAAGAAGAAAAAGAAGAAGAAGACGTTGCTTTCATCTCGAGATTCGACCCTCGCGAAAAGATGAGAAGAGAATTGTTTCACGTTGCATTGGGGTAAGACTGAAACAGACAAACAACGCAGGATAAACAAAGAGTAAAAGAAAAAATGAAAGAGAGAGAGAGAGAGAGAGAATTGCGTGCGCACTATAGGAGGGTGGAAGAAAAACTCATATCCCTTAATGAAGTAAAACGGGACGTGGACTCTCATGCGTGTACGACTATGCGCGTAGGTTGTTATCAAAGAGAGGGAAAGGGAACGATCGTGTTGTCGTCGTACTTTGTCGCATTGAAAGGGACGAAAACTGTGGATATATCGTACCTACGTCATGAACCAACAGAAAGAGATAGAAAATACAACAACAACAAAATATTAGTGAAAGAGAAAGAAAGAAAGATAGAAAGAAGGAACGAGTCCTATGGCAACGAGAGAATCGAATGCACCAAAGTGTGAAAGAGAGAGAAAGCAAGAGAGAGAGAGAGAGAGAGAGAGAGAGAGAGAGAGAGAGAGAGTTAGAACGAGAAAGAAACAAAGTACACGTGCTTGGGACACAGAGAAAGGCGTTACATGGCGGACAGTGACGAAGCACCCTTCGTTGTAAGAGAAGAAGAAGAAGAAGATAGAACAATAGAAAGAGAAAAATATAGAGAAAGTGAAGAAGAAATAGAAAAGGAGCAAAGAGAATATAGGAGATAGCGAGGGAGATAGGAAAAAGGGGAAAAGGGTAGACTGGGAAGATAATTGCGAACGGGGGTGTTTCTGTGAGAGAGATGGAAAGAAAAAAGTATGAGTAGTATAGAAGGTTGTTGTTGATGCTATAATCCATGATAGAATGGGATAGGAGAAAGATATACGTGTTTTAAATAATATCTTTTTACATTTTTATTTCTATTATCTATCTAATATATATATATATAATATTTAAGTATTGTATTTATATAATATTAATAAAAAATAAAAGGATATATATTGTCTTGATATTTTTATATTTTGATCTATTATCTATCGTATATATATACAATATTTAAATATATTACACATTGTTATTAATAAAAATCTAAATATTATTTTTTGTTCATAGAATATCTCATCTAAACGATTTTATAATTGAATCGTAGAAAAAATGTTGAACAATTCGTTAAATAACATATCCAAACGCGTTCGAATTATTCTTGCAAATTATCTTACGAGTACGGGATGATAATTAGAAATAATGTTCTTCTTTATTATTTCCTTTTTTTCTTTTTTTTTTTGTTCGAGTACTTTTAGAAATGATTCCACGGAGTCGTGATATAAACGTTCGTCGGGACGACTCTTGACTCCTTTGTCCAAAACGACGTCTGAAATCGTAAAACTGCGCTCAATTAAAGGGTTAGCCCGCTCGTCAAACGTTACTGCCCACTTGCTGCGGGACATTCGTTTCGTCTGGTCGCGATAGCGCTCCCGGCTATAAACCTCGAATATCCTCAACGGCCGACACACAGAAAGAGAATCCAGACACAAATACACAAACACACGTAAAGTAAAAGAAAGATGATAGAGAGAGAGAGAGAAAGAGAGAGAGAAAGTTCGGTTTCTCCTCTGAGAGTACTCTCGTACACACGTTACCAAATACTCTCATCTATCTATCTTTCGTAATTATCGATCAGGTAAAACGAGTAATCGTCTAGCAACCAGCAGCAGCAGCAGCAGCAGACAGTTTAAATATCGATTGAATCGTAAAACTTGTTTGAATCGATTACCAACCATCCTACTTATCCTATACAATCTGACCTATTCAAATCGTTATTATTATTATCATCGATCTATTGTAATTAAATCTTCTTATTATATAAACAAAAACAATAGAAAAGTAGAAATCTCGTAAGAAACATATTGATTAGATTCGAACGGATAAAAGTAATACGATAACCATCGTTTCGAATCTATACACGTAAATTGAAATTTTCAATCGTTTCTGAAGTTACCGGGCGCGCATAAAGCTTTCCTCCTATGCATCCGCGTTCGGTATTGAACGCTTTCGGCGCGTTATTAATCCAATGTTTGTACGGTGCATTGCGCTGACGCGGTCTCCCATCGACATAATTTATTACACACGGAGCATCAATTTTGACTAAACATTCGTCCTACCGGCCCGATGTAATGCAGAACCCCCTTTACCCTCTCCCCCTCCCCCACCCCCTCGCCCCTTCTCCATCACGGTTTACTCCCCAGAAGACGTCATTGGTAGATACGTTGCAATTCCGGTTCTAATTATTTCCATGTACGAGTAAATAACCAGATGATCCATCCACGTTTACCTATTAACTGTAACTACTATTTTTATTTTCTTTTTCTCTTTTTTTTTGTTGTTTGTCATTAAACAAAATAAACACATAATTATTTGAGAATTGTCTAACACTCTGACGAGATAATGAAACGAAATTATTAATGTTAAATATATACTTTCATATATTCTAATAATTTATATTTCTCACATATCATAAACAGTTATTACAATGTACACGTAGTGACATATACATACACGCACAAACACACACACAACAAAAATAATATCTTTAAAGGATATATTCAATCAAAACGATACATCTTCGATTAGTAAAACCCTATTCAAATATAAACACGTAGGATACTCACTTAAAAATACTCACACATCTATAAACTCAAACAAACACAGAGAAATATACTCCTATAGAGAGAAAGAGAAAGAGAGAAAGAGAACGCATTCAAATAAATCCTCTCTCGACCGCGACTGCATTGTTCGGATGCGGCGTGTATGCTTTACCTGTCTCCCCGTTATGCGCATGGGGGGGTAAATAGTAGTTAGTTTTGAAGAGGTCGACAGTCGAGGGCTTAGAGGTAAAAGTTGAACGAAGGGAGGGAAGAAAACTCGGTGAAAGGGTGAAGGGGGTGGCGGGGGGGAAGGGGAAAAGGTGTGTACGTTACAGGTGCAACGAAGTACAAACTATAGGAAGATACGAGAAGGTTTCTCATACTAACTCTAACGAATCGTATGCACCGACGAGATCGAAAGTAAAATCTTCTCTCCCTCTCTCTCCCTCTCTCTCTCTCTCACTTGCTATACACCACGGCATCACTTTGTTTACCCTACGCCGGCAACCGAGTGGCCTGTGCTTTACGCTCTGCCGTAAACAAACTACACCTTCCACTTATCTCCTTTATTTACTTCCCCTCGTCGAAGAGTTGATACAATTCGCTTTCCTTTCTCTCTCTCTCTCTCTCGTTTTGTCTATTTTTCTCTTTATTTTTCTTCCTTCCTCTCCTTTTTTTTCTCTGTGTATTTTTATCTTTTTCTTCTCATTTTTTACCTTTCGTTCTTTTATTCCTTTTATTTTTGTTGGCCACTCGTTTAAATCCTTTATCAAGGAATCACGTCCTCGTTTCGTCTACTTTATTTTTCAATGATAATTTTTATCCTTTCATTTTTTTTGTTTTTTTTTTTTGTTTTGAAGTCATCCTCCTTTTTTTTCTTTTCTTTTGCGCAATAGCGTCTACGCATTGAATTTTTTTTCTTAATTACGGGAGAAATTGAGTAAATTTTTGTGAAATATTTGATATATCGTTTATTTACTCCTCCAGTTCTATCTACGTGTATTTCTCTTTATTAGAGTTCGTAGTTATTACCGTATCTAATTTAGTGAAATTATTAACGTTACTCCTATATCAACTAATTTCAGACTAAAATATGTATACAATACCTATGCTACGAGGTAGAGCTATTAAAATAATGAATTATTAACGTTAATTATTGTATTAAATATGATCACATCGATTTATCTATTATATCTATTAACGTATATGTATATCAAAGAGTAAATACGATTATCAATCTCGATCTTTCTATTCGTTTATCGATTAGTCAATTATAACAATTCGAGTTAAGACAATTGAAGTACATAATATATCTATGAACTTTCTAATTGAAATGAAAACAACATGAAAGATAAATGAAAGTTTTTCTATATAAAAACGTCGGAAATTATTGAAAGGAACGTTCGATCTATCGATCTATTAGATTGTTCGAATAATAATTTCGTTTATTCAATAATAAATGAAAGCACATTTTTTTGTATATATATAAAACCCAAAAAGTTTTATATGTTCGCGAATGATCAAATATGATTAATTCCAGTTCTCAGCTATTTTTCGCGTTGTTATTCGACGATTAACATCTACCAGTGTCCTTATTCTATCCCCCGTCTACTTCAACAGGACGATCCAAACGATTTCATTTTTAAATCGAAATCACCAAAAAGAAATTATTATAAGCTATTTTCACCCTAGTATTTAATTTGAATAAAAACAATGAAGTAAATATATCTATGTTACTACTTCCTAATTAAAATCTAAAAATAAAGATGAAAGAGATAAATGAAATGTTGTGTGTGTGTATGTGTTCATTACAATGCACGTTAAAACATTAGAAGGTATTGAAAGGTAAACAAAAAGGATCGATTGATCTATCGATCTATTTATCTATCTATCTATCTATCTATCTATCTATCTATCTATCTATCTATCTTAGCTTCTCTTTGCTTTGATCTGTAGGAAAGCTATGTGAAAGAGCTTTATAGTAACTCGTACTCGTACTAGAAGGGATGAACAGAAGGGTGGAAAGGTGAGGAGAAGGTAGTAAGAGAAAATAGAAGGGTTGCCGAGAGAAATAGTTGTTTTCAAACTAGCAAACATAGCTGCGTTGGTCACGAGCATAATGAATCTATTCCGTTGGGCTAGTGGTATACGTAGAGGATGGTTGCTGTTATCCGTTTTCACTGTGACCCCAGCACAGCAACGGGGTTTCTGCTGTTAGTGCTACTGCTATACTCTGCTTGCTTGCTTGCTTGCTTGCTTGCTTGCTGTTTCTACTGCTGGTACTGATGCTGATGCTGGTGCT